TTGTTTTTTAACGGTTTTTTCGAATACCTATAAAATCGGTAAAATCTAAATATGTTTCGATTGTATTTATATCTAGAACTAATTTCCTTCGCACCTTTTGTGCAATATCAACTTGAAACAAGAAAGAAGTGCTGACTCTATATCTTTCACAAACATACAGGGTTTTCCAATAAGAGGCGTTATTTTGATATTCAAAGAAAAAATGAAATTTTTTGAGACAAATAATCGGTTGTTTGTTTCTCTGTGAAGAGGAAGATACGAGTATGCCATTAATAATGGAATATATGAAATTTTTCACCATAAAATCGTCTCAACGACTTCACGACTTCCATCTTTGAGGTATTGAATGGCCGCTAGCCTCTAGGCGCAGACCTTAACTTTCATGTGGCTTCAAAATAAGAAGTCGCAAGTTGTTAAATCATAAGATATCGGTGACCAATTGCAATAACCTTTTCTAGAGTTAACACGGTACGGAAAATTCCCCCTTAAAAGATCATCGATGATTTCGTTGCTCAGATCAACACCAACCAGTTCCGGTCATAAAAAATCATTAATCATCTCTCGATAGTGCAATATTTGCCCCGTAACTGATACTCCAGCCTCATCAACGTGCGAAAAACAAGATCCAATAACGTCGCCGGACCATAAACCGCACTAAACAGCTACACATAGGGTATGGAGAGGATGTTCAACAGATGCGGCAGTTATACTTATAATCCAATATCCATCAAGGTGGAAATGAGCCACAAGAGTCTAGACGATTTTTCGTTGAAATTCTGGATGATTTTCATGCATTTCAAGGGCACAATCAGCAAAGACACGAAGTTGTTGACTATCGGACGGCTTGAGTTCTTGCGTTAACTGAATTTTATTAGCGGTAAGATCTAAGCCTTTGAGATTTGTGGAAAGCCTAGTTTTAAAGACTGACGAGGAATGGACATACCTGGGGTTTCTTCAACACCTTGTGCTACAACAGCAATATTTTGAGTTGTGTTTTGTTCTTCACATCACATCAACAACTTTTGTATTATCATCCACAAGGTGCTTCACGATGACCGTTTCCACTAAGTTCTTACCATTTTTATAGTGATTTTTAACGATTTCAATGCGTTGTTGAAACGTGTATTGTTCCATTTTTATGATTAGCTAAAAACTTTGTCAAGTGTCAAAAAATTAAAGCTTTAAAGGAGGTATTTGACGGAAACGTCTCTTAAGGAAAATCATTTATTTATGACTCAAAATCACAAATCTGTACAAATCGGTTGTATTGGTGCTTTATGATATAGTCGATCAATCCAAACCCGTCGAATTTGTCACCAAATGAGGTTAACGAAGAAACTTACTGAGACACATTATAATAGGCGATGAAACATGGGTTTATGGATATGACGTCAAAGTAAGGCCCAATCATAGCAGTGGAGGTACGAGCATTTTGGACAAGACCGGAAAAGATTCGGAAAATGAGGACGGACGTTTACGCTATCTCAAGTATGAAATTTGACAATTTTGTTACAAAACTTTCGCCCTACCCACTTAAAAACATCTCATAGAAAAGCTAATAACCTGATGCAGCGATTATAAAGGGCCAATTCTACATACATATATGTTTTTATATATGTATGTACTAATATAGTAAGAGATGAATACGCATACCAGTCGTTTCATTTGTTCTCATTTGTTGGCGTTCTTAATGATATCAATTGCAGTAGCAGTTCCATTTAACGAAATTAAGAATAAAAAAATATATAGTACATATATATCAGCCCTAGTGGCTACAGCAGCTGCTAAAACAACAACAGCGCCGTCAGAAACTATTATCAAAAAAGTGTTAATAAGAACATGTTTTCGTGAATACCGCTTGGCGCTTAGCGAAGCATTTTACTCTTGTTCTCCTCATTCACCAATTGGCAATTAGAGTGGCCAAAGCAGCGTAAAACCAAGGTACATATGTAAGGTGTATAATGTATACACATATACGTGTATGTACGCACATATGCACATAAAAAGAATGAAAAAGAGTTGTGTAGAATTTAATAAGCCTCGACAGCAGGTGCTCATGTTTGTTTATGTTGATTTTAATGTTAAATGAGAGGTGTTGATGCCTGTTGTAGTTGTATAAAGTGACTTTAGAAAAAAAGAAGAGTTTTTTTTTTAGTGAAAAGGGTCCATGTTTTGTAATAATGTTGTAAGGTGATCATAATAGGTACATATACACGTATATACATATAAATATGTATGTAAATAATAATCTATTATGAACAACTGACATACACACACATACACGTAAATAGGCAAAATTTAAACAGCGGCATAATGGCATTATTATACAAATGTTGGATGGAAAGTAGAAGAGATCAATAGCAACTTGTAGTAGATCCCAGCGTATCACCTTATTCTCTGTCGAAGAGAGTTTAGATATTTCACAGCTATTTAAGCGGACTGATTTGATTTCCCACATTCAGGGAGAGAAGAGACGCCCATATTAAAATTTATAACATTACATGGAGATCCGATCACATGACAACAGACTATCTCCCCAAAGTTCTCAATTTGTCTTTGACCGCTCTAATAATACCACATTGATATATGTAGTTGGCGCTTTGTAACCGCCGAAGCGATTTTTCGGCTGAGCTCCTCCTCCGAGTTATGGTTTATGCATCTTGATGTTTTTCCAACAAATGAAGAGACCTACAGTTTATACTAAGCCGCCTCCGAACGGCTGATGGTTATGCTCGTAGGAGCTTTTATTTCATGACATACAGTCGGAGGTGTGGACATTGCCTGCCGAGGAGTGACCGCAATTACAAAATTTAACTGAATTTTTTATTTAAATTAAATTTCCATAACTTTTGGAGATTGGTGGCACCAAGATGGGAGCACTGGAGAAAACAGTCAACAAGGGAGAGTCTTATCAATTCCAATCCAGCCAATATTTTTTCTTTTCCCCGAGGCAAAAACACAATTGAGACCTCGTTGCTCCCGTTTCATACATCATCAAATCTCAACAGCGCAGCAGTCTGACTTACGAAAAGTGCAAAATATCGCACTTAACGCCATTAATACACAGGTAGTCGATATGCTCAGCCAAAACCGACCAAATGTACTACCCTGGTAGTATTGGATCTGGAGCGTTCGACAACGTCAACGATTTAGTGCGACTATCGGAAGGCTCATTACCGCTGGGGTTGAAAAAGTATACTATGGGTTACCTGAGTGGTCGACTGACATCGGTAGAGTTTCGAGGCCAAACTTATAAAGGCCGTAAGGTTGAATAAGTGGTTTATTTGGGTGGTGTTCCCTCCCCGTTTATGTTTAATGTTTACATTTTGAAACTCTCTTCTCGATATGAGGGCGTTTTATTGATTTAATATGCCTATGACTGTCAGATGTCGAATGAATGGCGTGTGGCTAGAATACTGATAACTTAAGTTCCCTAGTGAACTGTCATTTCACCGACCTTTCTCACTGCTTCACTGTGCAGGAACCACAGCTACTAACTGCGAAATTCTTCAACAGAAAGGAAGTGCTAGATTCCATTCAACACCATAGACATGTACCGCTGGATAGAAGACGGCGTACCGATAGACTTTAAGCGCCATACACCGAGAGTCTGCCAAAACATTTTTCTTTAACTCTCTTTCAGTGAATGATGCTCTCCAAATCTAAGCACTACTAATTGTAGATGAAGAACTCGAGCTACCTCAAAAGATACGAACCCTACTGTTACAATTATAATCTGAATATAGTAGTCGATTTTATTCTTACCTATCCAAACTGGACCCCGACATACCCAACATATGTCCTGCATGCAATGAGATTTCGCACGACATCTACAACTTTTTGTCATACCCCGTGAAACCTACTCATTTATCCCCCCTTTACCTCTGGTACAGACCTTAGAAATAGTTCCTTTCCTGAATCACTCTTTGGATGACCTCGATGACTTAGGCTAGTTTCGCCTCGCTTTATATTTTCTAGTTGCAGGCTGTCGAATGCGACGCCCGGCGGAATTTTTGCGCCATCATCTTTCACACTGAGTTCGAGCTGGTACTCCTTCATCCAGCTGGTGGAAAGTGTAGCCGAGTATTGTGCTGACTGAAGCACACGGTGGAACCATTCTACTGAACCCCTTGCATAATCCCACGGAATTTAGAAGTTTGACACCGATATTCTACCAATAACTGTCGGCTAATCAGCAGTTCAAGGTTAAATTTCTCAACCCAGGCGAGAGTTTGGGCTCAGGCCCAGCTTTGGTTATGGCCATGAACTATCTGGGTACTTGTGGCCTTAAGTGTGGCTATGGTGGTGTACACTTACCGGAATTTAGACTACAGCGCTACTGCGTTCAGAGTTTGTGTAGCGGTACACTAGCCTCGCTTAGGGACAGGTTTAATCTTTGTTAGTCACCAAGGTCATCCAACGTGAGGTGCAGGAAACGTACTCTTTCGACGGAATTGGACGACAGGGAGAGAGGGTTAGATGTGTCAGCTTAAGGGGGCACATGTAGGGCATACACGTTGAGTATGCTGGGGTCAAGTCTAGATAGGTAGAAGTTTAACCTGCTACAGTATTTAGACCTAATTTGTGCAACTCTCAAAACAGCCGGTTCTACGTACCGGCGTCAACCTATCGGCTATCGAGTTCCATTTAGGTCAACAGGCAATGTTAATCTAAGTGACTTGTTCCTCTTTTTCTGTGGTTGATTATGGAATTTGTTTGTTAGAGTCAGAATATTATCTGAGCGCGTATAATCCTAAATGTCAGCCGAGGGGTCATCCCTACCGTGGGCATAGACTTATCTTGCCTATTCTTGGGCGCGACAACAAAAATATTAGAAAATAATTTTATCAATGGATGATGCAAATTGATTCGACTTTAATGCCTTACCCGGTTAAGAAGAAAATCAACTTCTTGTTCTTCAACAAAAGTTTGTGAATTCTCCACTTCTAATTACATTTTCATTTTCATACAATTTATTTTCATTTCAAATCAAAACTCACTTGTAACGTCCCGCAGCATCCAAAGTCAATTTCCGCAATACCAGCGTGCCATTGGCAAGTATTAAATATCTGTAATATTGTGAAAGGAAATTATTTTATTCATAATATGCATCTGTTTATATACTATTTATGTATGTATGCATGTATATGTATTAGCTGTACAAATGAATGGCAATAAGTACATAATTGAAATCTGAAACTGCCACAATTAAAAAGCGGAAGTCGCTAAGGCGAAACTCTTCATAAAATAACCATTAAGAAGTCTTTTCGTTGAAATATATAAATGATAAATGCTGATATACCTACATAAAATACGTGAATAATAAATTGGCCCCTGCAAGCAAATATTGAACAAGTGAAATTTTCAGCTTAAAACAAAACCGCGTGTTTCTCCAATCTTCGAACTGTTCCCTGCATTATCGATTTGTAATCAGTTTCAGGGAAATCTCTATAGGCACATCAAGAGATTAGTCGAAATAGTTTTAAATTAATGTAAATGAATCTCTCTCATTCTATATTGCATTTCACTCCAGCAACATAAGAGGAGTGCACCGCAGTTGCTACGTAATTTCCCCATTGCAGCGGATAAGTAGACGGAAAGCATATTGGAATGGAAGCTCCACCGAAATTCGGGCAGCAATTTTTTTTTTATAAAATCAGTACAAATTTTTATATGGTGACGTCGGCTGTAATGGACGCATAGATAGTGTCATTTTCAGTAAATGCTCCCGGCATCAAGATTTTGATCATTATGCTCTGAAAATACCTAAACCGGGTACCTTGTATGGTTGCGAAATCAGCAAAACGTATGGTACTTTGGCAGACGACGCGTTTCAAATGCAAACTCATTTGCTGAGACCTTATTCGGTACGAAGTACATCAGCAGGCCAAGGCGAATAAAGGAGAATTTATTTGGGATTATTACGGTACAGAGTCTTCTCTTATCCACGACATCACTGATTTTGTTTGATTACCGTGAGTGATCGGCGCACAAGCAGCCGTTCACACTAAATATAACTAAAAACGATTATGGGCTCCCAATCTTTGGATGGTGTGCCAATACCAATATTCTACAATTGAATACTCCATAACACGCTGCAGTCCGCGCAAGCATAAGCGCATATCCTACATTTTCCACAAAAAATTTTTTAGCTGAAGTCCATCTCAGAAACAACATATTAGCTCTTCAAAAATATCAAGAAACAAAAACGACCAAAAAAATAAAAATCCAGAATCCAACGATGCATCGATTTCGCAAATTCCATTAAGCTTAGTATGAAAGCCTACGCACCCTCCATGGTTGCAATGGTGGCTATTTCGGATCTACAAACATTTCCAAAAAGAAAAAAAACACTGGCTCCTTGGCCTTTAAACAACCTTTCCAAAAAGCCAAAAAAAAAATTACAAACCAAGAAACTAATTGGAATTTCTTATAGAATATATACATAAGAGGACTCCGAAAACAATAACCACACCGTATTTGCAGTAGTTCATAGTGACGAAGCAGCTTTAAATAACGGTTTAGTATTCCCATACTGATCTGTGTTCACCGCGGAAGCTTTAGCGATTAAGATTGTTGCCACAGACTTTGCCTAAGCAAATGGTTTTTTTACGAGGAGCATTCAACGAATGGCTTTCATATAAACAACGCTACAGCCGAACGAACATTTATGGATCCAAGGCTCACTATCTACCATCTTGTTCACGACAGCAAATCCAAATGTTTGTCCGTCTACGCTTGGGTTAAACCAAACTTACCCGCAACTTGATAACATTTTTGATGCGGTACCTCACCACCCAAATGGCAATTTTACAAAGCCCCGTCATCCATTGAGCACTTTTTTAACAACTGCACCAGACTAAAGGACATTCGCGTCAAAGTATTTCAACAATCAACCCCTACCGATCACTTAAAAGAACCTTCTCCGGAAGGCCGGAATCACTGCAGCAGTGAAGGACCTTTTTTCGTGCCGTTGGAGATCGACTATAACTTAAATGTACATATTTGGTATTCTTAAGTTTTTGAAAGTTTTGATAAAGTATTTTTTTTAATGAAAATTCCCAAAAATCACCTTTCTTTAGGCCATTACACTAGGTGTGACCCTTAATTATAAGACTTTATACTTGAAAATTACTAATAATAAATAATAATAATAAAAACGTTGCATCGGGGTTGATTTTGAACGCTGCTAGGTAGCATGATTTCGGCATTTGATTTGTTGAGAATTGAAAAAATATATTTTAGCGCCAATAATGGCATCCTATCTTTAGAAGATGAGCTTTCTACTCCGCGATAAAAAGAGAAACACCAGAGTTTTTTTAAGTGCTTCAACACTAGATGATAGGTTTGGTAGGGATGATTCGCCTACCAGTGGTGGAGTTCACGATGATTTTAACGATTTCACTATTCGCTACATACGATCTATGCTGATCGTTAAAATAACTTGGCGACGATTTTAAAATTCTCTATACGTATTTTGACGATATTCGCTACTCTGCTTGATCAGCTGTTGTCGTTAATTACTCGCTGCAAAGGCTAAAATAAAGTCAAGTGGCTCGAGGAATTACCTAAGCAATATAAAATGAAGTAATAATCGAAAATTGCTTTTGAGTACTTGATGTACGTTTTATCTTACACCACATCATTGGAGAGAAGTTTGCTTCGAGAAGGGAAGACAATTCCCATTTTTAAGCAACTAGCCGACCTGTAATTTTTCGGACCTGGATGCTATCAGCGTACCTTTGGGGAGCAACAGACGCAATCAACCGCTCGATATCTTTTGAGAATGTTCGATTTCCCATACTCAAATAGATCGGCAAGCTGCAAGTTAAATTTTTACCATTCACCATTCAAATTCACCATTGGTTGGAAGCACTATTGGGGCTATCGATTGCACTCATGAGTCAATCATGAGCCCAGAAATCATTATTAACTCTCTACCAACCACGATGAATACCATTATATCGTGGCTTAATTGTTATTGTAGTAAAAAAATGGCGGCAAATACCAAATACCTAGGAGAGCGGCACAATTCATCTTTTTAGAGTTCCTCTACAGTGCGAAGGGCCCTGCAGCATGCTTTTGATTGGTAAACTTTGTCATCCATCGTAGGAGAAAGGGTAGTTTCTTTCAATTTGCCTCATCCATTAGTTTGATTACCAAAAGGAGCTTAAGTGATCTTCAGTGGTTTCAAACATACCCGTCTGAAGGCCTACGATTGCGTTTCCAAGCTGCTACTTCACAATAAACAAAAAAAAAAAAAAAAAAAAAAAAAAAAAAAAAACAGATAATCCACGAGGGTAAGTTTTTATGTTCGCTGGATGGGCGATAAAGGGGGAAAATTAAAAGGCAAAAAATATATATTTTTTTAATATAAAAGTCAGGGAGGTGGATAAATTTTTCACACCTTACTATTAAAATATTCTCTTAAGAAAATATTTATCTTCAAAATGCGCCGAAACTACCTCCTGGACTTCATTATCGGTGAGACATTTTTAACTCTCCACATCTTTTTCATTTTGGGAAACAGGTAATAATCACTCGGAGCCAGGTCTTGGTTGTAGAATAGGGGATTCAAAATATCGAAGTCCACCTTAAACAGCGCAGACAACACAACTGACTCTTGTGCACCATTATTTTTGCGGAGGCATGAGCTTTCTCGACGACCATCTCTTGCGCTGATCCTATCCAGGCCAAGAAGAGCATGCGGCGGCCACGATGGCCTAAGGATTAGCATTGCGTGCTGCCATTCGGAAGGCCAGAGTTCAAATACCGGTACGACCAACATCCAAAAGTTATATAAAATTAATTTAAACGAAAAATTATGAAATCTTCTAATTGCGGATGTATTCGGACAAGAAATAAGTGAATTTCAGACATGAAATAAAGGCTCCTCGTAAAAAACCATCAACCGTCCGGAGACAGCTTAGTATAAACTCCTTTCATTGGAAAAACATCAAGACGCCAAAAACCACAAATTGGAGGAGGCGCTCGGATGAAAATCGCTTCAGCAGTTACAAAGCGCGAATCGTAAAAGATGAAGATGTATCATTATAAAAATGGTTGTATCGGATTTTCCAACTAAATATTACTGAGAGTTGTTACTTCTTGGGTCGGACATCGGTGAAAACATTTTTTCAACTTTTTGGTTAAGTTCAGGCGTGATCACCTCAATGCTCTTGTCCGGCCTGGAGTTGTCGTCAAGAGATTCCCTTATTTGAAAACACTTTGTGATTTGGCCGAAGGCCAATGATATTTCATTTAATATAGGCGCTACTGATTGTCGTCACTTAGTAAGGAGCTTTATAACAGCATACGATTTTGACGATAGCTCAAAAAAAATGGTCTAAAAACAATGAAAACCCATACTTTTATTAATTATAAGTCACTGAACACGAACCTTGCGATCCTAATGATCTCGCCCTCTCCATAAAATCTCCCCCTCGTAGTTTAATGGAAAGTGACAAAACTGTTCTATGCAGAACTCATTTCTCATGTATTTCTTTTCCTACGGGGAAAGTTGATTTCCTTATGTACTTATTACCATTTCGGCTTTTCCCAACAAACAAATATTTATGTTACTAATGGCAATTATTTAAGCGCTCAATACGCATTTCATGTTATCATTTTTAATTAAAATTTTTTATTTCTCTTTTTCCTTGTTTTGGTTTTGTTTTCTACTCGCCTGTTGTCTTTGAATTGCTTTGATAACGATACATTTCCATAGAACCAACTAACATTTGCCGGTGGCACACTTACGACCGGACAATCAAGACTTAGAGGTAGACCCGCCGCAGCGGTTATATTTGCTGGTGCTGTTACGCGTTTGAGTACTGCAAAGGATAATAGGGGAAAGAGCAAATCATTATTGTATAAATATGTATTTAATACAAATGAATGTATGTATGTATATATGTACAATATATATATCTATGCGAAGCAAAAAACTGTGTTTTTTATTTACCTGGATATTCCACTTTGATAAGCTCCGAGAGCACGGCTGTGGTGTTGGCATTGATTTTACAGCGATAAGCGCCGGCTGCGCGTTCAGTGGGCGGCAGGCGTAATGTACCATTGCGATAAAGTTTGAACTCGTTGCGTCCGCTATGGATCTCCACAATTTGATCATTGCGATACCAGGTGTAAAAGTAATATGTCTCGTCTATGAAGGAGAGATGAAGAAAAGCGGAGAAACATGTCATGAAAAGTTAACGCTGCAAATAGGGGTGAATCAGTATGCTTGTATGTAAACCTTTAAAAACTTTGAAAAATTACAAAAAATTAGAACAGATAGGCCCAACCTACATAATAAGTAACAGTTTTGTATTTTAAAGAGAAAGTAAAAATACTAAAATAATAATATAGATACTAGACCAGATGGTGAAAAGGTTTGGCTTAGCTCCATAGTCCTCCTCGTTGGTCTATTTGAACCTGAAAATAATATTTAAATTCATTCAGATTTTGATTTAGCACTGAGGTCCGATTTTATCAAAGCCCATATCTAGTTATTGCCAACTATCTGATTGGGCCTTATTAGTGTGGCTTCAGCCGTGGCAAACCTGCCATTGGCCAAATATTAACAATGGATCAAGTTCTCGAAGAGGTCCATGTGAAAGGGTACTTCCACCTCTTTGTCTCTTTGTCACGATTGAAAAGAACCTACGTCAACACCGCGATGTCCGAATTCCGTACCCCCATAAAAGTTTTACGGCTGTGCAAACTGTAGTTGAGCAACAAAAAAAGCTCTGTAAGTATCAGCATCCCTGAGCCGGTCAGTACTAAACGAAGCTTGTCGAGCTAAATAGAAGAGGTACAATCTTCTAAAAAAGTACACAGCTGTTAGCGCAAGGCGTTGATATAGCTGCCATTGACCTTAATCCACCCGCTGGTAATTTTGCTATCTTTAGGCTGGATAAGGAAACGAACCGTATGGATATGGTAGTGAACGAGGATGATTCGAAATTTTTCCTTTCACCAAACAAACAGCCATCGCATACGCTACTTGGACCCCACGCCACTGTTGAGAGTCATAACTTTGAAGTTGTAGATAATCTCGTCTATATTGGAACCAGCATTAACACCAACAACTTGAAATCTAACATAAAAAACACTTTTGCGAACCTTTGCTACTTTGGAATGAGTAAGGAATTGAAAAGTAATGTTCTCTCTCGACGAGCCAAAACCAAACTCTACAAGTAACTAATCATTCTCGTTCTGCTATATGGTGCAAAAGCCCGGAAGATGTCGATATCCCAGAAAGTCTATGAGAGAAAAGTTGGCAGCAACGAATATCTTCGCTTTGATACAAATTGTGGCTCGACGTTCATCTACTGGAGTAAATGTCAGTACTCGGCGCCCGAGTCTCTCTCTTACCATGAATCCGACATCAAATTTGCCCTCCTTTATATGACCGCTGTAGTAAATGTCTCAAGGACGCACCCGTCCACTTCGCACTTCTTGGACGGCGGTTAAGACAGTCTTTAATCATACAAGGACATCCACCAGCGGCGGAGCGGTACCTTCCCAATTAAGGGATTAGGCATTGTAGGTGCATCTCCTCAAATCCGGATCCTCAAAGCTTTTGCGGAGGTGTTTGCATAATTTTTCATTGCTATAAATTTTGCGTGTGGTGGGCTCCAAACCCTACGCACTAATCGGTTTATACGTTGGAGGCAAAGCAACTCTAGTTTTACTATGACACTGAAAAGCTTTGAAAGAAAAAAGGGAGAGTGGGTACTGAGCATCTGCTCAGTTAGCTGGTGATCTAGGTGGGCTCATAGTTATAGCACTTAGATTCCTATTAGACCCCACCCGCCAATCAAACCAATGTGTTAAGTGGGCAATCGACGATTCTTTGGGAACGCTTTTCCGTTCAAGAGTCTCTTTGATGCCACTTAAGACATTAAACTACTCCTCCAAAATGCGGAGCATTCACTAACTGAGTGCCGTAGGGTTTCGGTTACTTACTAATTTCAAAAAGCTCTGTGGAAGTGATTTGATGGCACGCCAGAGCTCTCTTCGTGCCTGGCCGTCAACAACTTGTTACATGGTTACTGTGTCTTGATATACATAATAAGTTCAAGAAGAACTACTTACCCATTGCATTTAGTGATTTAAGGCAATTTGCTACCATTTCTGATTTGATAGTGAAAAATTCCAGGGGCCTGAATGTCCCAGACAATTAGCATCCTCCCACCCCGGCAAAAATAACCCGGGACCAAACTCATGCACAGAAAGTAATAAAACCGCACTCCCTGGTGTGGTACACCGATGGTTCGAAGACTACTTATGGAATAGGCACGGAGGTCACTGCACCCAGAGCTAAGACTTCGATTCCAATGGGGAAATACCCTAGTATCTTTTAGGTATGCACAATTTGGTTGCATATGGTATAGGAATGTGTTGAGAATCTCATAAGATTGGACGAACGAAACAAAGTTCAGCTCATCTGGGTTCCGATACACACAGGTATTGATGGAAATGAAATAGCAGAAAGACTCACAAAAGAAGCTACCTCAATATCTCCTACTGGACCTGAGCCATTCTTTCCCTTAGGTCTCCACTCAATTAGGGAGCAGATAAGAAGGAAGGAAATAAACATAAGAAACATCTACTATTGGTATTGTAGCGACGGAAGGAGACAATTAAAGAAACTTGTTGACGGCTACTATACAAAACCATTTAGCACTGTAATATTATTTAGTAACAATAATTTAAGAATAGTAACAGGATTTCTTACAGGACATTTCAGACTGCGTAAGCACATGTACAGGCTCGGAATGTACTCCGATGATGAAATTCTTCGATTCTGTCAGTTGGTACCAGAAACACCGGTGCACATTGTAGTTGAATGTGAAGCTATTGCAAGAAGAAGACACAAACACTCAGGAGTCATTTAGCCGGAGGAGAACCACATCAATCAGCCCCTCTAGCCTGATTAGTTTTATAAGCGCATTAGGTCTGGTTGAAATAATGTGAAGACAACGGACGGCACAATAGACCACTGGTCGCGGTGCATATCCTCCTTACTAATTTATCTATATATTTATTCATGATTGGTCAATTACCATTCAAAAATCAACTTTTGGTTTTACCACTGCACAAGGTGCTTTATGTATTCCCACAATAGATGTTATTCGCAATGATCCACTAATAAATATGAATACTGTTCTCTGAACTCTAAGGACTTCAACCGCCTGCTAATTTCCTTTCGGATGAAGAAAAAGTTGACCATTAGACCAGAGAAGTATAGGCCTGATCACCGAAATTTAAAGCCAACAACGACATTATTTGTCCCTTATCTATTCCTCTGATACTCGAGACCAATTTATTTTATGTATAAAATAAGTTCCTATCATTTAGCAGTCTCAGTGATATGCGGCCCCAAGCCTGAGAGCGCTGAAGGTGTAGTATCCTATGACTTTACAACCGTCTCCTCACCCATGTCCCTCACCAATTGGTTTATTGTCAAGACCCATAGAGGAGGGATTCCTCCACAGACATGCTTACGTGCCGGTACTCCTACGTGCCTAGACCTTACTTAACCCACTGTGCCCAAGAATGGTATATATGAGAAACTATCCTGCAGTCAGCGCTATATGTGGCAATCGTAATTTGAACTAAGACCAATAAATTTCAGTTTCTCTCTATACTTAACCTCAAATTGAACTTATTGACTGTTATATTGCATACGTATATGTGGGTGTACTTATATTCATTCATTCATTACTCACTGCTTATATCGTAGTAATTCTCCTCAATGGTGGCAATACACGGCAAATAATGATACAGATGATGTTTTGTGATTAATAATTTTGTCAGTTCTGGTTTTTCAAGTTGTAGGAATGGACCAGAGATGATTGTATTACCGTTGGCGTTAACTGTAAAAGAAGCAGAAAAGACAATTTAACGAGGGAGAAATATTTTTTCATACATACTTAAAACAGTAGTAAATGTAAATGTAAATAATTTAAAAGCAATTTACTCCTTCTTGAATAAATAATTGAATAATTAACTAATATTAACAGTGACTTTTAACTGCCATATTTACATACATACATATTTATGTATATGCACATACATATGTTATATACACATATATACCACAAGTCAATTCATATTTTTATACCAATTAATAATATACATTTAATTGCAAATCTTTTGTATTTACAAAAAAAAAAAAATATATATATATATGCAAACGAGGGGATTAACAAAAGTTAGGTCAGTTGGTGCCTTTCAATTGTTTTTTTTATTTAATCTAATATTGCCAAATCTTTTGCAATTACTCTATTAGTCTTCCCTTCAAATATTAGGAGGATCGGCTAAGCTGGAGACGAGAAAACGCAAGATAGCTGAGGATAAGTCAGACGAAAATCCACCACCAACGCAAACAGAAGTTCGCCATATGATTCTCTTTGGGTTTCAGCGTAATTTACAGCCAATTTAAATATTTAGTGAATGTCAAATCGCATAAGAAACGATAGGAATATAAGGACTGTTTCTAATTGATTCCGCAGATCCCAGACCCGACATTTGACCATAGAAGACGAGCCCCGAGAAGGTCGACCAAAATCTTATACTAATGACGTCACTGTAGCTGAAGTCCAGAACTGACGAAGACCCACGACTGACACAACAAATGATTGTTAATGGATTGGGCTTGAATGCTGTATCGCGAATATTAAGTAATCATCTCAGATACACGAAGAAATCTACTCGATGGGTGCCACGAATTTTGGAAGAGACCTAAAAAGAGGCTCGCGTGCATTTTTCTCAATGTTTCCTAAACAAATTATAAAATGATCAGTCTAGCGACTTTAGTAAAGTCCTTACTGGTGTCGAATCTTGGTTCTATAAGTACGATCCAGAAGCCGAACAGCAGTCAGGGGTATGGAGCCCAACAGGAGCAAACCTACTCGTAAAATCTAAGCAACAAAAATCACGAAAATCAGCAGCAAAAGCATAATGTCAGTTTAAATCACCTGATCTAAGATCGAAAGCTGCTATCCCACTGGAAAAGGGTCAGACGGTAAGTGAGAAAACGAAAAATAGGAAGAAAGAGGATTTGCAGCTTTTTACATCATAACAGCGCGCCATCCCACACTGGTGAAATAAGGTTTAATTTTATTGCGATCTCTCCGAACGAAGGAATTCGTCCTGCACCATATTCCTCGGATATAGCAACTTGTGATTTTTGGTTATTTCTAAAAATTCAAAAAAAATCAAAAGGAAGAGTCCTTAGTAGCAACAAGGATAAAATTAATGCGGTTAATGCTGAACTTGAGAAGCTAAAAAAGCAAGATGTTGAGGACTGCTTCCAGAAATTTACAAAAAACATCAACAACAGCTTGAAAATTATAACGATTTAAAAAAAAGATCATCTTCTTCGATGAGGCTTACTTTGATCTGAGGGTTGCGGTGAATTAACGAAACTTACGATTCTGGTGCAAAGAAAACCCACAAATTATTCACGAACGACCACTCCATTCTCTTAAATTGATAGTTTAATGTAGTTTTCGGTCTAGTAGAATAATGGGTTCGGGCTTTTCTTGAACTCAAACTGGTAGAACCGTTATTATAGATCGATGATAACCAATTTTTTATGCCCACATTTGGAAGAAGTTGATCTTTACAACATCCGGTTCCAACAAGAAGAGACTACGTGTCACACGTGCAACAACCGAATTATTGCGAGAAAGGTTAGGAGATTCGATTATTTCAAGAAATTGTGTCATTGTGATTTAACACAATTAGTCTTCCTCTTGTGGGATTATTTGAAGTCATTGGTCTTTATTAAAAAAAAAACAGACTCTCTTTTAGATTTTAAAGTCAATATTGAAGGTGCTATTCATGACATTCAACTTGATTTAGTATAAAAAGTGCACAAAAATTGGGTTCATCGAATTCGTTCCTGCAAAAGAAGTCGTGGAGGCCATTTGAATGATATTGTATTCAGAACTGAAATGTATCGATTATACATCACTTTCTTTAAGAAATCATACCACTCTTACTGGAAAACTCTATATATACATATGTATATATATAGAAGAACAGGAAGTTAATTCCAGCTCACATTGAACGGAGTAAATTGACATTTTGTGCAATATTTATAGAAGTAAAAAAAAAACTCTTGTCAGAGGTCAAGTATGAGGAATGCCTTTAATATTTCGCTATTTGAGAACAAAAACAAATATTAATAATTGAAAGTCGCTTTTTCAATACATTCTTCTTAAGATTTGTACACTTTTGCATACATTTGAAGCTTGAAGTTGTCGAAGAACTTTGCCCATTCTGATTGAGGCAGCTCCGAAACATGCGTTCTGAATACGAAACGAAAAATCTTAATAATCAAATATAGTCTTAGGTTCCGAACTACGACATCCTGATTAAAACTCGATAAGTTAAAACCAATAATTATGAAAATTAGCGCTTTGTAACCACCGAAGCTTTTTTCAGCCGAGCTCCTAGGAATCATGAATATTTAATTTTATCGGATTCTGCTTTCAGTGCAGTGGTTTTGGAGGCATACTTTTTGACCCAAAAGTGGGTCGTTATCAAGAATTTATTTTTTACAAAATCTGTCGCAAGTTCGGTGAATGGACTCAAAACAAGATGGTCCCCGAACCCGATTTTCACAAGAAAACTTGGTTTAATTGCTGTTGCTTAAGGGATATTTTAATAAATAAAATTGCCGAATTTTGTCGCATAATCAGAAAGAAATCAGCCAATGATGTCGTACAATCGATTTCTTGAACTAAACTTTCGGTGAGCACATTATCACGCCTCATGGGAATGTGGCTTGGCCTCCGAGATGGATAGATATTTTATAACCGTAAGAAAAGTTTTGATTTTTTTGCTTGTTATTTATTTATATTAGTTAATTATGTATGTGAAATAACTTCCCAACCAACCAATGCAAGTATTTCATTCAAAAAATGCAGCAGCAAATCGCTAATCCGCTGCTATTTTATTACATATTTTCATAGAAATACACAAACGTATTTAACAGCCTACTCGCATATAATCATATGTACGTTTGTACGTGTTTTATGTATGGGTTTACATAATTTTTTATAGCATCACTACAAACGATTGTGGACCATTTGGTCCATTGGGGTAATCAAATATGTACTCCACGGTAGTCTACTATAGGATCAATTCGCGTCTCGCTACCACCCTATTGCTAACTGATGATAGCTTGACTTTTAACGATCGCAATTACTGAACGATGATTAATGTGTAAATAAGATTATGGAATCATTTTTAGATTGATTTCTGAACTAGTTTTATGTATGTGCATATGGTTAAGGGGCTCAACCAGTGTGATATCATACTTTCAAAAACCGACCAGAAAAAAAGTAAAATTTGTGTATTTATTCATAATCTTTGTCCTTTATTTTCTACTCTACGTAATCGCCATTTCAATGCATTTCTAATGTTTATCGATCCACTTCTAAAAACAGTTTTTAATTTTCCTTGAACAGGGTTTTCGCGAAACAACGTTTTCCGAATTTGCTCTCAATATAACTCAAAAACCAATAATGATTTGAAACTTTTTTATCGTATTCAGCATTATTTGAGGGGAAATGTGACTCATTCGATCTGATTAAAAGTGTAAATTTAAATTTAAATTTTTTTCTCAACTTTTTACCTAAATCGTGGGTTACTTTATAGTTCATACAATCAATTCAAACGCCTTATTTATCTTTTTTCATTTCAGATACCCTGACTGTTAGGTAGGATGACAGCAAAAGGGAAACTGGTTTTTTCGGACCTTCGTGGGATAGCGCTTAGCTCGTCGAGAATGCAAAAGATTTTCGTTTGAAAAAAAAACTTGATTCTTGATACTGTAAACATTCAAGAGAGATGATTTTTTATTCAAAATCGGGTATCGAAAATAATGATAATTTTGGTAGAAGAAAGAAGCTAAAAAGCGAAATATTTTCCCACATTTGGTGAACTTTTCTATGAAAATGATCCAGCATAAGTATTTCAATTTGATGTTAATTTAAAGTTCATTCATTGGTTAGCTTATAACAAAATGGTTTGACCAGCTGCCATTTGTTCGAAAGCCGCTATGACACTTTGAGCGATTCTTTGTGATCAGAAAAATAAAAATTATTTTTAATTTACTCAAAAATTCATTTTCAATTTTTGATCAGAAGAATAAAACTCAACAAATAATTATTATTTTTGAAAAACATTTTTGAACACAAAGTGTAATGAATATGTTTGATGAATAAAATAAAACTCAAAAGCAAATAGTTAATTTAATCAAATTTGCATATTAAGATTATGATTATTTTTGGTAAATAAGAATTTACGATTTTACCTGAGATATCAATATTTTTTAATGAAAATATAAAAATCGAAAAGCGTGAATTAAATCTGATTGAAAAGTATAAAATAATTTTAATATTTACTTTCGGGGCGATATGTCAGATTTGAGAAATTTTTAATTATTTATGATTGACAATTTTCAGGTCGCTGAATTTTTTGATAAAACTCATAATGATCCCCATCTCTGTTAACAATTTCAAAAATCATTATTTATTTGCTATCACACTAATTGAGTTCCTTAATTGAACCATATTTTTTATGTAAATTGTGGTTAGTTTTGGATTAATCCATTGACCGCGTTAAGTCGCATTGTCTGCAGGGATACACCCCATATATATGTACATACATACGAGAGAATAGAGGTACGCGTAATCAACGCTTTAAATAATTTTTATGCGAAACAGCTTTTAGCGTATCAATAACGAAACAAATCAGCACGTAAAATTGTTTTGATTGTAAAGTAATCATTATATGAGATTTCTTACTGTTATTTACAATTATAATATTTGCGCAAGGTTACCATAGAAATCAGTTATCT